CAATGGAAGTTAAATGATCATATAGCTGGTTACTCCGATCCGTATCTATTTCAAGAATCGTTCAAACATGACTTACAAGATATATATATATATGATGTGGGGGTTGAATTTTACAATAAGACTAAGTAACTTTTTAGGGTTTGTAAAGTTCTATAGAAAGCCACCAAACGCAAAGATCTCAAGAGAGGTTTTTATTAACCTGTTAGAAAACTGTTTCAGAATACAAGTGTTTGTCAAATGAATTCTCTCCAATTTTTTTGTGAATACAATGAGGTATATATAGGATTTATAGGTAAATGAGCCTAATAAAATGGGTTTGGCCCATTAAGTAATATATCTAATTTATGCACATTATTCTATTAAGTCCATTTTGCTTATGGGTTTAATGTCATTTTGGGTCTAAATTCAGACTGAGCCTTTGTAGAGTTGCTTTGATTTCGTCAAGACGCTGTGGAGTTGATCTCGTCGCCATATCGATCTCATAGTGGTGAAATCCGACCCCTACATAGGATAATGAAAAGTATCTGAAAATTTCAATAAACACAAAGATTTGATCATTTCTAACCACCGAATCAACTGAACACAATGATTCAGAAGGAGCAAGAGGACCATGTAACCTATCCCAAAGATTCATCACAAAACAAGTCATTTGTTTTAGCATATCATATGTTCACCCGAATATACCTTAATTAGTGAAATGAGCGATATGTTCATCCCATTTTTTCACATGAATATTAGAAACATAATACCCTTATTATTATCATTCATCTTATTAAATATTTTCGTTTACATAACGAAAGTTTACATCATGACAACTTCGGAAATTATCTTCTCGCCTCTCATTTCTTCCATCCCTCTAGTCTTCATCCTTCAATATGTACCATAGAAACCATGTCAATTATTAACTATAGACACAAAAACTTACACACACGAGTGTGAAGTTGAGTACTGAAAGGTAGTTGTAGGAGGAAGGTGCCTGCATCGTTCGTCGATACACCTTTGGACACATTTTGAAGCAACTAGTAAACGGCAATGGAATTCACATTTATATATACGTTTAAAAAATTTGCTCCTCCAATGGCAGGCTTGGCAGCCATCACCACCAAAACGAACACAATCAACACCACACTCCAATATTTGTTCTCCATCTCTCTTCTTGATCAAATTATTTGCCTTGAAAATTCTTTATGTATATATAATCAATAATCATACAGAGGTAAAAGTGACCAAATTTATTGCCAAACTAAATCTTTAAAAAATATTTTTTTTTCTTGAAATGATTATTTAGTTGGATTTATATATGTTCAGTAAATCTATATATTAAAGTCCGTTTTCATTTAGTTGATCA